AATAACTGTTATAATTTTTCTGAATTTTTCTATACACATTCAAGGTACACGCAAGGCGCCATATCGTTTATGGCTATAAATTTACATCCGAAAAGACGAGCGGAGATAACGTTTTCGGAGAGCCTTCAAGGACTTGGTTTAGAAGAATATCTTTTCACTCCAGAGGAATCCATAACCTCCAGGTTTGTCGTGAAACAAGACCATATCTCACGGTATGATCCATTGAATATTTTCGCTCGCGCGCGATTGGTCTAAACGCGTCACGTGACTGAATATTCCCCAGCTAATACTAGAGAATATCCGAGCGATATTCCCCAAATTTCAAAACCGCGCGTGTTGCGAAAAAGACTTGAAGGATAATAAACACAACAGCCTCCATTTGACGCGAAAATATGCTCGGATATTTGTCCTCGGACATAATGTGTTCCTCAAAGCTCACAGTTTTCCTCGAGCAGAGCTCTCGGAAAACTGTTTGCTTCTCGGAACCGATAACGTGCGCGGACAAATATCCGAGCATATTTTCGCGCCAAATGGAGGTTATTGTTTATATAGTCCTCTTCACGGTAACATTTTCTTAAAATTGCCTCACACACATGTTGGGTTCTAACGTAATGAAAATGACAAAAGTTAGCCGTGAAAAGGGCTATTTTGCGTACATTTCTCTTTGGGAAGTTTTAGATTTGTATTTCCCTATGATTTATAATTTCGCACGAATCGAGTTAAAGGAAGTGTCCTCTTTATCGCTCAAAGATGTAACTCGAACATGGTTTCCTAAAGGGTATTAAGCACATTTTATCTGTTTTGTAGAAAGATAAGACTTAATGGCAAGTTGCTTGAGATGGGTGTCGACTCGTCATTTCCAGTCTTCCAACCGAATCCAGTTCCGCCAGGCGATCCCCTGATCCTTCCACCCCTGACGTATGCTTTCTACGTTGTTCCTGAAGCTAATGCATTGGCGTGCTTGGAGCCATGATGGAAGGATATCTGACAACCTAGAAATTTTAAACATTTTAAAACTCTTTGGTTTTGTGACAATTTTCAGCCTACGAAAGCTGAGCTTGATTACAGACGTCGCTCAAATCCCGTGGAAATGGATTATGGAAGACGAGCGATACACTGTAAGAAATACAGCATGGAAGAGAGACAAATAAATTCAGGAATTACTAAAAGAAAAAAGAAACGACAAAAAAAAAAAATTCCTCTTCTTGTTGTTGTGGTCTTTTCGGGTGATCTTGCTTGTTGTATGAGGGAGTTAAAAAAATGGTTTGCACAATCACAGGCTAGAGGCTGGTTTCTTCCTTTCAGGTTTCATCTTTTGTGGTTAAGTCTTCTTTAATCAAATTGTTCTATGAGCAAAACTCGTGAATACAAACGGTGAATGAAATTATGTTCGGAGCTCCTGACTATGGGCTCCTGATTATGTGTATAATTGCGTCTTTGATTTGTGTGTGTGTGAGTATGAGTTATGTGGTAGTTGTTTGCCAAAGAACCAAAGAGACATTTGGATAAGAGTGCGTGACAATTGAAATGAACACGACATTGCGTGGACATAAGGCCATATAACTTGATTCCGTAGGTGGGGCAACCCACCTGTAGCCGTGGTCAAAAACTAGCCTGCGTTTACATGCGATCTTAAACAGCCCTTTCATCCTGGAATGAACTTCCTTAAGCGGACGTAATGCATTAGTGAATTCCAGCAGTGTTCATCCCAGTCCTTCCGGGCAATAGACAGGTATTTGCTCACATCTTCATTCTGAAGGTGGGTCATTTGAAATTTTAGTACTGATCAACGAGGAGCGGGCATTTGCCTACGGGACCACCCCAGAACATTTGGCACCCTTATGGATTTGGTATCATCGCATGTACATGATGTTTTCCAAGAGACCAGGATCATCCTCACTTGTGTTCTCTTATCCATTCATCTTCTGTTGATCACATATAGATCAACGTGATATTATGTTGTTGGCGATAGGGTTACGAGTTGAATGCTTCGAAAATT